GAAAGAAAGAAAGAAAGAAAGAAAGAAAGAAAGAAAGAAAGACCAAAGTCTTGTCAACACTCATTGGGAAGAGCTACTTTTTTGGGAGTGAGGGGAGATAAGGGGAATATTTTTTGCTTCTACTCCACTTTCCACTTGCAAATCTGCAATGAATTCATCATGATGGATCTGGGTTGCTAAAAGCATAGCAAGTGGAGACTGGATACAGAATTCAGCTTCTTGAATATCCTGGCTCTCTTAACGATGATCACTTCATTTCCATACACATAGGATTTTGAATTTGAATTGACATTCTCATATACCAATGGCATATAGAGGTCTGTCCCTGGCTTCCACTCCACCAAATGCATCTGAGGAAGTAGGCTTAAGTCTAGGAAAGCTCATGCTGCCAACTTTTTTCTTTAGTTAGTCTCAAAGGTGTTACAAGATCTCTCTACATCTCTGATTCTACAGACTAACACGGCTATGTCTTTGGATCCTGGCTCAGCCTTTTATTTAATTTTTAAGTTTCCAATCCTTATTACTGGAAGGATAATGGAAATGTGGACAGAATGCTGATGGGGGCCAGTTATAGGGAATATATAATTTCCTTGTTGCAACAGCATCACTGGCTACCGGTTCCCTGGGAACAGTTCAAAGGGCTGGCCATGACCCCAAAAGCCCTATACGGCTTAGGCCCAGACTCCCTATACAAATCTCCCAAAACAAATCTGCCATAGTCCTAAGATCTACAGAGAAAGGCTTCCTTTCGGTCCGCCACCATCGCAGCCTTTCTTGGTGAGGACACAAGAGAGAGAGCCTTCTCAATGGCTGCTCTAACCTCTGGAGCTCTCTGCCTCAGGAGGCTAGGCCGCTTAGATTGTCTTCATTTAAGCGGGGTATAAATAAATTTTATTATTATTATTATTATTATTATTATTATTATAGGCTGGCCCACTCCCTGCTCCCTTTCCACCGGCAAACAAAGACATTTTTGTTTAAACAGTCTTTTTTAAAAGTAAGCAGGGGAATCATAGAATCATCAAGTTGCAAGAGACCCCCAAGGGCCACCCAGTCCAACCACCTTCTGGCATGAAGGGATACATAGAATTGTAGAGTTGGAAGGTACCTCCAAGGGCCATCCAGTCCAACCCTCTTCTGCCATGCAGGAAGACATAGGATCCTAGAGTTGGAAGGGACCCCAAGGGCCATTCAGCCCAACCCCCTTCTGTCATGCAGGAAGACATAAGTTCGTAGAGTCGGAAGGGACCTCCAAGGGTCATCCAGTCCAACCCCTTTCTGTCATGCAGGAATACAGAATCCTAGAGTTGGAGATACTCCCAAGGGCCATCCAGTCCAACCCTTTTCTGCTATGCAGGAATACATAGAATCCTAGAGCTGGAAGAGACCCCCAAGGGTCATCCAGTCCATCCCCCATCTGCCATGCAGGAATACATAGAATCCTAGAGTTGGAAGGGACCCCCAAGGGCCATCCAGTCCAACCCCCTTCTGCCATGAAGGAATACATAATCCAAGAGACCCCAACAGATGGCAATCCAGCCTCCATTTAAAAACCTGAAAACCCTGTCAGCCAACCTGACAGGGCTGTGTGCTTTATTTTATTTTTAAACTTTTGTATGTTTTAAAACAATTTTGCATTTTTAATATGTGAATGTTTAATTGGGTTTTTTTTGGTAATTATTAATTTTTTTAAAATTTACTTTTGGGAACCACTTTGAGTCTTGGTCTGGGAGAAAGGCAGCAGACAAATAAATAAATAGATGGGTGGGAAATGCTAAAAACATAGAAGCCAGGAGGGGATGCATGAAGGGTGTCTTATAATAAGAGGTGAAGCTTTAGTGCTCAGATGGGATCCTTCTTGGCCAACCCAACAAAAACCATGCCCCCCCTTCCCAAAATATCCCTGAGAAAAGGTGATTCAATTTTACCCTTTTGCATTCTTTCTCAGGATTGCAGAATTGGACTTTTATGGGTCAGAATCTGGGTTGCAGATTTATTTATTTATTTGGAGGGAGGAAAGTTGGTTGGGTGAAATATTCACAGTCCCAACCACAAATGCACAATTCCAATGACTGGATGCATTGCTGGGAGAAAAGAAGGCAATGAATGAATGAATTAAATAAATCAATATCCTGACTTTTTCCCAATATGGGAGCCCAAATGGTCCCTGGTAACTTTTTGAAATAATCCCTTTGACGGTCCCAGATCTACCAGCAGACCTTATATCCCACTTCGTCTTCATTCGCCACCTTTATAAATTGGGAGGTTTTATTTCCATTGCTATCTGGTCTAAAAGTCTTTGCAGAAGTACCGAAAGCAACAGGTTATTCCCAAAGGTTTGTTTTCCTGGGTTGTAATTCTCTCTCTCTCTCTTTTTTTTTTTTTTTAAAAGAATATTATTATAAATTTTATCCAATGCACACGTTTAAAATATACATACAACATATACGACGAAACAAGGGAGGAAAATTGTAATGTAAGTATGGCAATACAAATACAATTATATATATATATATATATATATATATATATATATAATCTCATAACAAAATACTCATGAGATATATGATAGTAATGCCAACCCTAACCAATCAGTTAATTGATATTTTCTTTCTCTATATATCTATGTATCCTTGGTATGCATATAATATATTCATGTATACCATATATGTTTTAAACAAATATCCACATGCATATGCCAGTTGTCCCATCCCAACATTCAACCTTTTTTAACCTGTCTTTCCCCCTTTCTCTCATTCCTACTATTTACTCCCTTCCATAGCCTTCTCAATCTTAAATATCTAAATCTCATCCTTAACTCCTTCCCTTCATCTGAGTTATAATTCTCAAAGATGGCAAAGGCGCGTTCCTGTGACCCTCTTGAACCCAAAAGCCTAAATCCACCCATCTTCTGATCAATTCCCAATTATCTTACATCGATGACTGTTTAGGGAAAAGCACCAGAGAGATGGATGGATGGACAGAACACAGGTTTCATACTTGTTAGGACTCAGAGGGACTTAGCTTCAGAGGAAACAGGTCCAACGGCGGTTGTTCAGCCTTAAACTTGCCCAGTTGTAATAATAATGGGCTTCCCTAGAGCATGTGCAGAGTGCTTTTGGCTCTGCTCCTAGTCAATTCAATTCAATTTATTCGGTCTTTGACCAGTATAATCCTAGTCAGAAATGAAAGCCACGTGGATATTGAGGATTGCATAGGTGCGGCACTTCTGGCTGAGATGCTAGGCTTGGCTGGGGTTTCTCAACAGTTTGGATACCACCCAATGCATGCCCACCTATGCCCCTTCCTGCCCCTCCATTTGGATCTTCTTTCTACAAAACTAAAATAAGTTGCAAGGTGTATTGCAATACAGTTGCAGGGTTTTTTTTGGG